TCACTGCAACCCCGCCCTCCCAGGCTCAAGCAATTCTCCTGCCTCAGCCTCCCGAGTTGCTGAGGTTACAGGTGCCTGCCACCACACCCAGCTAATTTTTGTATTTTTATTAGAGATGAGGGTTTCTCTATGTTGGCCAGGCTGGTCTCGAACTCCTGACTTCAAGTGATCCGCCTGCCTCGGCCTCCCAAAGTGCTAGAATTACAGGCGTGAGCCACCATGCCTGGCTGGAAGTGGTCTTTTAACCTATTATTTATTTATTTATTTGGAGACAGGGTCTCCCCCGTTGCCCATGCTAGAGTGCAGTGGTGCGATCATAGCTCACTGCAGCCTCAACCTCCCAGGCTCATACAATCCTCCCATCTCAGCCCCGGAGTAGCTGGGATTACAGGTGTATGCCACCATGCCTAGCTAATTTTTTTAACTTTAGGTAGAGACGGGACCAGGGAGGTCTCACTATGTTGCCCAGGCTGGTCTCAAACTCCTGGGCTCAGTCGATCCTCCTGCCTTGGCCTCCCAAAGTACTGGGGTTAGAGGCGTGTGTCACTTTGCCTGGCCTCAACTCTTTGAAACAACCAGGTCTCCCGTGAACTAACTGAGTCAGAGCTCATTCATTTCCAAGGGGATGGTGCTGAGCCATTCATGAGGGATCTGCCCTCATGACCCAGTGCCAGTAGGCCCCACTGCTGACATTGGGGATAACATTTCAACATGAGATTTGGAAGGGACATGCATCCAAACCATATCAAGCCCCCACCAGACTCCTCTCTCTGTGACTTAGTGTATCTGCGTCCAACTATCTCTTTGCATCTCTATGCGTTTGGATTTCTTGGTTTCTGCAAAGTGACAGGGCCAGCCTTCTGTCTTGCTTCAAGTCCAGCCATCACTCTTCTATGGTTGGAGGAAGAGAGAGAAGAAGAAACTTAAGAGGGAAGAGCTGCAAAGAGAGAATTATGATGTAGCTGATGGGAAGCTGATGTAGCAATAGCTCATGTTTTCTCTCTCCCACTGTCTTTCTCTTTTAGAACTTTTTATATGCCAGAATTTGTTTCAAGCATTTTACGTATATTAACCCAGTTCATCCCAAGAGTTGTCCCATGGGGAGGGCACATAAGTGATGGATAAGAACACAGACTTGAGCCGGGCACTGTGGCTCACACCTGTAATCCCAGAACTTTTGGGAGGCTGACGTGGTAGGATCATTTGAAGTTAGGAGTTTGAGACCAGCCTGGGCAACATAGCAAGACCCCTGTCTCTATTTTTAAAAAAGGTTAAAAATTAGCTGAGTGTGGCAGTGCACACCTGCAACTACTTGGGAGGCTGAGGCAAGAAGATTGCTTGAGCCCAGAAGTTTGAGGCTACAGTGAGCCATGATTGTACCACTGCACTCCAGCCTGGGTAACAGAGCAAGACCCTATCTCAAAAAAAAAAAAAAAAAAAAGAACATGGGCTTGACTAGATGCCACCCTGTTTTCTAATCCCAGCCTCATACCCGTTGGTTTCATGATCTTGGGCAAATTGCTAGGATGTCTGCCTCAGTTGCATTGGTGGATTGGGAATAATGAAAGGTACTTTGCACATGGTAGGTGGTCATTTCAATTTTTTTTTTTTTTAAATACAGAGTTGTTTTGCTCTTGTTGCCCAGGCTGGAGTGCAATGGCACAATCTGGGCTCACTGTAACTTCTGCCTCCTGGGTTCAAGTGATTCTTCTGCCTCAGTCTCCAAAGTAGCTGGGGTTACAGGCATGCGCCACCACAGCTGGCTAATTTTTGTATTTTTAGTAGAGATGAGTATTCACCATGTTGGCCAGGCTGGTCTTGAATTCCTGACCTCAGCTGATCCAGGTGCCTCAGCCTCCCAAAGTGCTGAGATTACAGGCGTGAGCCACCATACCCAGCTACTCAGTTTGTTTTGTTTTGTTTTGTTTCACAGCTGAGGGAGCAGAGGTTCAGAGAGAGAAGGTTACTTTCTCAAGTTCATGCCGGTAGTAAATGGCTCACAAAGAGTGGACCTGGGCAGCCTATGGGTGTGGGTGCTATGTCCCTCCTCTCTGTTGCACAGATAGGATGAGAGAGTGGGAAGGTGCTGAGATTTCAGTTCCAGATGGGATGTGGGGTCTGTAGCCCTGTTAAGTCCCCCCTCCCATGGCCACCGATGCCTATGGGAAGCAGGAGGCAGGTCTGAAAGTGAAGATGTATGAATTCAGCTCAGTTTTGGAAACTGAGCATTGTTCATTACTGGGTATGTACTCCAAGGAAAAATAAACTATTCCACCCGCAAGACACCTGCACCTGTATGTTTATTGCAGCACTATTCACAATAACGAAGACATGGAATCAACCTTGGTGTCCATCAATGGTGGATTGGATAAAGAAAATGTGGTACATGTACGCCATGGAATATTATGTAGCCATAAATAAAAGAATGAAATCACGTCCTTTGCGGCAACATGGATGCAACTACAGGCCGTTATCCTAAATGAATTAACACAAAGACAGAAAACCAAATGCCACATGTTCTCACTTATAAGTGGGCGCTAAACATTGAGTGTATATGGATGTAAATATGGGAACAGTTGACACTGGGGACCCCAAAAGCAGACAAGGAGGGAGGGGGGCAAGGGTCGAAAAAATACCTATTGGGGCTGGGTGCCGTGGCTTATGCCTGTAATCCCAGCATTTTGGGAGGCCAGGGCAGGCAGATCACTTGAGGTCAGGCGTTCGAGACCAGCCTCGCTAACATGACAAAACTCTGTCTCTACTAAAAATATAAAAATTAACCAGGTCTGGTGGCACACGCCTGTAATCCCAGCTACTCGGGAGGCTGAGGCAGGAGAATCGCTTGAACTTGGGAGATGGAGCTTGCGGTGAGCCGAGATTGTGCCACTGCACTCCAGCCTGGGTGATAGCAAGTCTCAGTCTCAAAAAAACAAACAAACAAACAAAAAAACTACCTATTGGATACTATGCTCACCACCTGTGTGATGGATTTATTCAGACTCTAAGCCTCAGCACCACACAATATACCTTTGTAACAAACCTGAACATGTACCCCTTGAGTCTAAAATTAAAAAAAAAAAAAAGGTCAGGTTCATGCTAATTTTTTATCTGCAACTTTTCTAATTTTTTTTTTTTTTTTTTTTTT